ATATATATATATATATATATATATATATATATATATATATAAGATCAGGTTTAGGAGAAAACCATAAAAAATGAAAAAAAATTAAAAACACTCTAGTAACCGTTTATCTGGATGACATGTCCATGTACATACAAGTAATTAGTAAGCAATTTGTCTGGTATGCATATGTGCATAATAACCAATAAACAAATTCAATTACTTGTATGCATATATGTATACCGCCAGATGAATAGTTATTAAATATTTCTCAGTTTTAAATTTTTTTGGATTTTTCCCTTAATCTCCCTGTATTATATATTATAATTTATATAGATTTTCAAATATGTGTACAAATGAATTATAGAACATTTACGTGTGAACATCATTACACACGACACAAGTAACAATGATCATGAACAAGCTCATACCATGGTCACAATCAAACAACTTAAATTGTTCTTTCCCGAATCCATTTGGCCTCAACCTTTTATTTTTATTCTATACAATATGATTTGTGGGTCGTTTACCAAACACTTACCCGGTAAATGCTTATCAATAAAATTCAACACTATCACTTACTTACCAGGTAAAATTTTAGTCAACAAAAATGACATCGTATGCAACAATTTACCCGGTAAGCGCTAACCGTGATAAGAGTCCTCGTCCTCACTTACCGGGTAAGATTATTGGTCATTGTCTTGTTCTTACCGAGTAAGATTCTTAGTTCCTATCATATTTATCCGGTAAGTTAATGTGACTTGGCAAACGCTTACATGGATAAATGTCTGGTAAACGGCCTTCCTTAAACAAACTATTACCATAACATGTAAAATACCCGATTAATAAAAAATCCTAATTTTTTTTAATAAAATGAATCTCAAATTAGATACAAAAATATGCTATTTTTTACATATAATTTCTTTAATTTTATTTTTTTTATTATAGTTTAAATATTCTAGATTTCAAAATAACAGCGTAATTTACTTTCTTTGACAAACCTATCTTCCACCGTCACTGTTCCCATTTTCCATTCCCGCAGTTCTCTTGTCACTACCTCACCCCCTTCATTCTCTTGTCATAACCTCACCACCACCGTCTACACCCTTTTCCTTGTCCGCACCTTCCATTGCCGTCATTTTGCTTCCATCATATCCATCTTCCCGGACATCCCAAACCTCACAAGAAAAAAGGATTGACGGTGGTAGAAAACACATGTGAAATCTGAAGAAACCCCTTCGACATACGATCCAAAAACTTTGAAATTGTTGAAAGCATCGTCAATTGATGATAAGATCTTTTCAAGTCGACACAAACCCAAGATTTGATGAAAGTTTCAGCATATTTATCAGTTATTAAAATCAGATAAAAAACAAAGCAACCCCATTGAAGACGAAATCTAAAATAAGTTCATCTTAAAATTGTTGCATATGCATGTTTATCTATACCATATTATAAAATATTTGATAAAAAAAAACTCTTAAAAACTATTTTTTATGCATAAAGTACTGTTTGTTGATGCATATTGCTTAAAAATTCAAAATTACAAGTAAATATACGTAAGTATAACTTATTAAAGTTTCATTTTGAATTTGTGTAATTAACTTCAGATAAACATAATCAAATATAAGATAATCTAATTTTAAATATAAAAAATCTAAAATATAATTAGAATAATTATCGAGTTCCAACAAAATAAATAATTATTATCTTTATAAAAAATTATATTATTAAGGCAGAAATAAATTACTTCATTATTAAATTATAATAAAAAATCAAATTAAGAAAATTACACAAAAAATAAGAACTTTTAAATACTTAATTTGATTTTAATATCGATATTTTTTTTCAAGTTTTTATGAGATCTTCAAAGTTATATTGTATTCAAACATAAAAATATTTCATTTCTTAAAACCATATAAAACCGTGTTATAACATTGATATAGACAAAGAATAAAAAAAATATTGAAATCGAGATGTATCTCGCTGTATTGTGTAAGTACCCTTCTAGTATATATTTAAAATATTTAATTAATTTTGTAACAAAACACTGAAAGAAAAATGTAAAATAACCCTAAATTAAATGACTTTCTAATCTATTTTTTTTCCTAAAATAAATGTTTATAATAAAAAGTGATATAACATTTTAAACATATATTATATTCAAAATTTTCAATTAATTAAATGACAATTTTTATATTTAATTAATTTATTTATTTTTCACAACTTTTAATTATTTATATATTAATTAAACATAATATTTAGAGTTTAATTATCTATACTATATTATAAAGCATWTGACAAAAACTCTTAAAAACCACTTTTTATGCATTAAATACTGTTTATTAATGCATATTACTTAAAACTCGAGATTACAAGTAGATTGTGTATAAGTACAACTTATTAAAACTCCATATCTCAATTCGTGTAACTAACTACATATAAACATAATCAAATACAAGATAAACATCTCATTTTAAATATAAAAAATCTAAATATAATTAAGATAATCATTGATATCTAACAGAATACTTAATTATTATCTTTATAAAATGTTATATTATTAAACTAAAAATAAATTATTTTATTATTAAATTTAGATTAAGTTATGATAAAAATAAATTAAAGAAATTACATTAAAAATAAGAAGTTTAAGATAGATGATTTGATACTAACATTAATATATATTTTTTTCAAATTTTTATGGTATTTTCAAATTTATATTTTATTCAAAAATAAAATATTATTGTTTTCTTAACTAAAATCGTATTATAACATCGATATAGACAAAGAATAAAATAAAACATTAAAATCGATATGTACCTTCTATTGCGCGAATAACCTTCTGGTTTATTTTAAAAACTAAACATTTATTTAATAAAACATGTTTTTGATCGAAAAATGACTGAGGAACCGCTGTTTACTCGGTCTCCACACATCTGTTGGCTAAAAGGATAAACCCTCGGTTAGCCACGCGGCAAAAGTTCATCCCTTTGCTGACACTTCCATCTTCCTCCCAATAAACATTCGAATAGCCAACCAAACATTCAACAATGGCTTCTTCTACCATGCTTTCTTCAACAACTCTCAAACTCTGTTCCAACTTCATTTGTTTTTCCCCTTCAAAACCCACTTTACCCAACAACATTTTCCCATTCACACCTCATTTAAGGAGAAATCCGTTAAAACTCAATGCATCTTTCAATGAAATATCCGATGATTTATTAGAAAACACACTTCATTTGGACCAATTCCCGATTTTCAAATCTGGGTATGCTCAGTTTCAGCGAATTACAGAGGATTTACCGGAGACTGAAAAATGGGGAGTTTTGGCTTTTGCTGGTTTTGTTTGGATTTACTTAACTGCTAGGCCTGGTGTTCTGATTGGTGCCATTGATTCATATATTCTAGCTCCTGCACAGAAGGTGTTTGATGGTTTGTCTGGGAGAAGGAGCTTGAAGAGGACGGATTTCTTGATTGGAGATAAGTTGGGAGAAGGGTCATTTGGAGTTGTTTATTCAGGTGTGGTGATTCCTAAGAATGTTACAGTGGAGGAAAGTGCCAGGATGACTGGGAGTAGGAGGAGGCAGCTTGAAAAGGATCCAAGGTTTAAAGAAAAGGTCATTCTTAAACAGGTGAAAATCTGACATTTTTATCAAGATAACATGTTTCCTTAAATTTTGGTTCTACTGCTTTGTATGATTGATTAATCAATCCAATTTTAGTCATCCAATTTGTTAAAAAGTCATAAGGGATCCTCTTAGTTCAATTTGCTATAAGTGTAGTGATTTAAATGCTTTATATGATCGAATGATCCATCTAATTTTAGTCTCCCAATATGCTAAAAATCATAAAGCATCCTGTTATCCAGATCAATTCGTAATTCAGTTCTGTAATTATAGGTAAAAGTTGGAGTTGAAGGTGCTATAGAATGTGGTGATTTTGAAGAGTGGTTTAACTACAGATTATCTCGAGCAGCTCCTGAGACATGCGCTGAATTTCTTGGGAGTTTTGTTTCTGATAAAACTAATTCAAGATTCACAAAGGGTGAGAAATGGCTTATATGGAAATTTGAGGTAGATGCTGTATTTGTTTTCAAGTAGCTTCATTATAGATACGATATATGCATATACATATTATATGTTTATGCGAATCACAGGGAGATAGAGACCTTGGTGATTACATGAAAGATCGTATTTTCCCTTTGAACTTGGAGTCGCTCATGTTTGGTCGTGTCTTACAAGGACTTGAATCTATAGAGCGAAATGCATTGATAATCAAACAGATAATGAGGCAAATAATTTCTTCGCTGAAGAAAATACATGACACTGGCATTGTTCACCGGGATGTAAAACCAGCCAACTTAGTGGTAACTAAAAAGGGACAGATCAAACTTATCGATTTTGGTGCAGCCACGGACCTACGGATTGGAAAGAACTATGTGCCCAACCGGGGTCTTCTTGATCCTGATTATTGCCCACCAGAACTCTATGTGCTACCAGAAGAAACACCATCTCCACCTCCAGAACCAGTTGCAGCTCTTCTTTCTCCAATACTTTGGCAGGTGCTATATATTTTTACAGATCTTTCTTTTGAATTTAACTACTTTTTATTGCAAAGGTTAAAGATTTACCCAATTTGAGATAAAATATTGTCTGTAAAACCCTAGATATTATAGCAAAGTTCTGTTCGGTTAAACATTCACTGCAGGGATCCCACCTCGGCTAGACTTGGACCTTTAAACCTCATTTATATTGGAACCTCCCTTCTCTTCCTCAAGGGCTCTTTAGAGTGGGTTCTACATATCCTCACATGGTACCAGACCCAAGGTCTACCACTGTGGGAAAATGTATGCCCGTCTAGCCTCCGTTACATTGGCCAAACTTGGACCATTTTTTCTCAATATACGTTGGAACTTTCTCCCAATGACTCTTTTTGATAGTGATTCAAGGGGTTTCACATATTTTAGAGTCACCATGACCCTATGGAACATATCCTTGAGCTCCAAATCAACTTTTGAGGCACCAGATTTTCACATGATGCGTCTTGATGCTCACAGAAGGGGGTTGCAGTTTTAATGAAAACATCACACACAAAAATGAGATAAAAGGTACAAGCTTTTATTACCATGGATTTAATCACTCTACGGCATATAAACTTAAAAAATCTGAGTAATTAATATTGACGATTACAAGACGATGAAAGAAAACATGGATGGCCTAGCATGACTATTTTGAACGCATAAAATTTCATCCATTTGTATATTTTAGGCCACGTTTGGCAACCATAAGCTAGCTTATTTTTTATGCTTATTGAATGCCCCATTTGGTTAGCATTTCAATAAGCTCCAAGGGTTTTTTTCCACTTTTCAATTATGCTCCTTGTAATTTCCCGATTGGTTTTCCAACATTTTTCCTTTTAGGTCATTGTACATTGTCAACTTTACCAACTAGTTTATATTGACTCGTTTATCAGCTAGGTTTTCAGCTAGTTTCCGAGACATAATCTTAGTGTTCTTATGCTAAATAGGCTTTTGTACTCTGTTGTTGCAGCTAAACAGTCCTGATCTGTTTGACATGTATTCTGCTGGGATAGTGCTAATGCAAATGTCCATTCCAACCTTAAGGTCTAGTGCAGGCTTAAAGAACTTCAATCTTGAACTAAAAAAGGTGGATTACGACTTGAAAAGGTGGAGGGAGAAAACCCGATCTAGACCCGACATAACTGTTCTTGATCTGGATTCAGGTAGAGGGTGGGACTTGGCCACAAAGCTTATTTCAGAACGTGGTTCACTTCGTAGGGGTCGCCTATCAGCTTCAGACGCTCTGAGGCATCCATATTTCTTGTTGGGTGGTGATCAAGCGGCTTCTGTTCTTTCAAAGCTCAGCTTATCCAAATAGAAAGTCAAATCGGCAAGTATACACACCATATATCTTCGATTAGCCAGGTAGGAGAAAGTTCATTTAGGGACAGTAAATATTTTGAGAACAGTAAGAACCAACCATTCATGATGAATACCTAAATATTCATTGATTTTCATCATGATATTCATCATGAATAATTGATTCTCACGGTTCTCAAATGAACCTGTCCGTAGCGAGTATTTGACTTAGAAATGTCAAACATTAGTTCTATGACATAAGCATAAAATCTCATTGTTTGTTTATATCGTTATCTTCCAGGAGATTGGTTCATTGGATTTCATTCTAAAGATGAGATATTCTTCTGTTAGCCTCTGATTTCTGGTAAATCTGCTGTAACTTCTTCGCTTCTGTAAAGCTTTCTTACAAGGTGCGTCAATAATACTTCTTGAAAACCTTCTCTGGAACTCCAAAATCAGAAAAAGGTGGGATCATAATTTATAGCAGAAGCATTAATGCAAGATAATATAATCTCTCCCTATTACGTTAATGAAGTGCAATGTTTTACAAACTAGCTGAAAAGCTAGTTGTTAATCGATAAGCTAGTCATATTTGGTAAAAACTAGCTGATAAGCTAAATGATGATGTAAGATCACCCGAAAGGACAAGTTGCAAAAATAATTGGAAAATAAATTAGGAGTATACTTGGAAAAAAACCTTGTAGTTTAATGGAACGCTGCTTCAAGTAGCATTTCAATTAGTTGCTTATGGCTAACAAAATGGAGCTTTTCATTAAGCTCAAAAAATAAGGTAGTTTATGGTTGCCAAACATGGCCTTAGGTCTCTTTCTAGAGCTACAATCATAAACTCAGAATAAGATAAATTTTCCATTCATAGCATGATTATATCCAAATTTGACAATTTACCTCTGAAAAATGGTTTGCTATAATCTAACATCATAACCCATATAAGTTAAGACAACCCCAAAGATCCATTATCTACTTGATTAAAAGAAACAATACCAAATTTCGAACAAAAAATTCCAATAAATCCTTTATTACATGCATTGCCTTTTTTATTCTCTAGTTCTTTAAACGCTGGTACACCAACTTCTATGGCCTACACAGTTAACGAACAACCCCCCACAAGAAAAGGAAAAAAAGGGAAACCCTCTATAAACGTATCAAAACTAGGATGCCAAAAAGTTGGAGAAGGGCCAGAAACCATTCGGTAATTTCATTATGTCAAAACTTAGAGGCCAATATAGCAACAAAACACTTCATATATTTCTTAGATTACTTCAAGTTTATCAATGATGAGAAGCAAGGGAAGTCAGTACTACGACCCTGCCTTCCGACGCCCAACCCGTGCAACAAAACCAGTCTTGATGGGGGCGACTGACCTCCCAGAACCACACTGTAAAGAAAATTAAAACAATATCATCAACAATCAAAGAGAAACATGCTTCTTAGTTTGTTTTGTTGCCCTATATCCTCAAAACGATGAGCCTTATAATATTCAAACGTTATAAGGTAGGGGAAAGTTCAGTTAGGAACCATAAATATTTTGAGAGCGAAGAACCAAATATTCATAATAAATGTACATGAATATTCATCATGAATATTTGGTTCTCACCATTCTCAAAATATTTACTATTCTTCAATGAACCCGCCCATATCAGGTATTCTATGTGTTAAAATAGATGCTTAATATTTACCTGTTCACATCTTAGGAAGAACAAACGATTCTCCTTTGAAAGAATTGTATCCGGACTTCTGCAGCCATTGCATATGACATATTCATCTGTAATTGCAACCAATGACTTTAGAAGATCAGTTATAATAGTCTAAACAAACACAATGGTGTTTTCTTTTACTTTCTCTGACCACTCAAAAACCAAAAACAAAACGACATGCACACAAACGCACAAGGGATTGTGCAAAAACCGCTGTTTGGGAAGCAGCAACAGAGAACATGACTTACTGATATATCTTCTGAGGATTCCTTCAAAGTTCTTTGGAGCGAATCGACCCTTAACGACCAACCTCTGTTGCCCATCAAGGGAACCACTTGTTCCCATTTCAGCCAATAGAAAAGTCATGACATGATCTGGCTGCCTATGCATTCTGGAAAATACAATATTTCAAACCATGAATCTAATGAGCAAGTTACCGTATGATAGACTATGTCTAGCTAATGTGGGACTCCAACAAAATAGAAGTCTTCTAGTGCTACTCTGGATATATCGGAGTTTTTGTTTTTTTTGGGTAACTATGGTTATTTGTGCCAGCTTACACACACCTCGACTAATCCCATAGGGCCCTAAAGATAACAGCCCGGGAACTCTATAGTGGCCGTGAGGAGATCCGAACCGGCAACCTAGAGGGTGGAGCCCAAGGCCTAGCCTCTATATACTGGTTGAGTTGGGGCTCAAGGTTAGATATCTCAATATTAAGCAACACTTTGTTGGAAGTGTGTTACATTTTACTCTTAACATATAACAAAAAACATGTAAAACACGTACGTCCGGCATAAATCCATAAAGTTGACGAAAACGGTCTTCTTTGTGCCTTCTCGAAGAACTTGTGGGGGTCTAATCACCGTCCGTCGTCTATCTCCAGCAAGTTCTGGATTATTCTCTCGTAGAATATGAAATACTCTGCTTAGAAGCTGCAGACAAATATAACATGTTGCCGGAAGATCTTAAATGACCAAATAAAGGTTAACTCTGAACACACACCTCCTCATAGAAGTAATCTCGATCGGTTCCTTCCCATGGATATTTTGGTTCCGAGTTGTTTGCATCCTCTTCATCCTCACCCGCATGACCTACAACATCACAAAAGAATTTGCATCTCAAAAAAAAAAAAATCTGAAACTCAAAGATGTTTTAGCTTGACAGGTAAGAAGGTGCACATCTTTGCAGAAAATTTGTACCTGCTCCTGTATGAGCACTTCCATCATTAATGGAATCAGTTCCCACCTAAGAAGACAGGGGAGAGTCAAGTTACGGAAACTGCCTCTTTGGCTTTCTTTAAAGGGCCGTTTACCAATAGTTGTTAGTAAGTGCTTACTGGATAAGAGTCACCGTCCTCAATTTATCTAAATGAGTAAGATTTTTGGTAAACACTATCATCTCTGACCAGGTTTGTAAGCGTTGACCCGTTAAGAGTCACCACCCTCACTTACTGAGTAAGATTCTTGGTTAGCAACATGGTACCGTAAGATTGTTGTTAAACCATCATCTTTGACCGGGTAAGTGTCTCTTACCCGGTAAGAGGCAGTAAGTGTAACCAACCGGTAAGTATTCAAGAATCAATAAGCTGGAAAGCTTGAAGCTTACTGGTTTTTTCTTCTTCTTTTTCATACCAGCAAATGCATTTTCTACTCCATCAGCAGCTGCAAGAAACCACATACAATCGATGTTAGTTATGATGCATAATAATCTTTAAATTTGAAAGGTACAAGTTCCAGATTCGAAGTTGGGTGATTCTAAACGAACCCCTTATTATTTCCACACTCGCATACGTCAACATCAGCCTCCATCTGTTTGCATTTCGAACGTATGAGTGTATCTGATTTGACTCAAAAAGGGGTTCATTTAGCAACACCTTTCAAAGTTGAATGAATAAGTAACAGGCAGAACTGACATGATAGGTTATCAGTTTTGTCTGATGAATGATCATCGTCCCCGAGATCTTGGATTACAACCTTTTTCTTCTTCTTTTTCTTTGTGGGATCAAAGGGGGCAATCTGCAAAAGTAGCTCATATCAAATGAAGAAAAAGGTACACACCACCATCCCACATTGTGCCGGTTTCATGCCCGATCCTATCGGCAAGTGAATGAATGATCCCCGGATTTGAACCCGAGACCTCACTTATGGATTTCTCATCTTATTACTGCTAGGACAATTCAGTACGGACTAACCAACGTACATGAACTTTTGTTATATAAACGGGATGTCTTAAAGCTAGTTTGTGGTAATCAAACAAGAATTGTCCATCATATTTCTCAAGATCACAATCGGATGCATATGCATATAAACGATGACTTACTTCAGGGATATCGTCTTTGGATTCTGATGAGGTTTGTTCAGCCATGATCAATTCAATCGGGTCGATGAGACCTAAAACGTTTCATAAATTGAGATCATATATCGGTAAGATGGAATTCAGATGAAATCATGGTCTGAAATTAACCTGGCTTGAATTCGAAACTGTTATCGTTTTCTATGTGATGCAAAAATAGCGTACGAGAGATTGGGATCGTAAAATAAACTACTTCAAGATCACTATATATAGTTTATGACCACTTTCTATTATTAGAAAGTGAGCTTAAGGTAAAGAAAAAATGAACCTTGTTATATCTGATTTCTTTCCTTGAAATTAACAGTACAAATGGTTACAAGGGTTGGTTGCTCAATCCTTAAGATTTTGGATTTACTTATCGATGATCATCTGTTTGCGTAAATGGGACGGCATAGGATACGACAAAATTTACTGTCTATGTTTGGCACGATATAAGACATGATAGAAATTCACTGGCCCATATTTGATGCGACATGGAGCAGGGTAAGGATGTTTTTTGTTCCACTCAAATAAATGGAACAAGATGGGACAAGGATGAGACATAAACTAAAAAATTACTAGTCTACCCTCATTTTTTGTAATCTAATATGGTATTTGTTTTAATGATCACTAACACCAACCAATGGCGGCCACTACCGACCAACACTATTACAACCTCCTCCACCGCCACAACTATTGTTTGCCGGGGACAGACCTAGGTGGTTTTTATGGTGGGACGTGCTATCGTTTCATTTCTCCTTCGTAGTATAAAAAAATTTAGGGTCGAGAAAAGTGTCACCATATCAATTTGTTGTGTCACTGTATATAATTTGAAACTACAATGAAAATACAAGGTTTTCTTGGTAGAGTTGGTTTGCAAGGCTTTTCTTACACCCTAGAGCCAAGTTCAAATTTCGTTAGTGTCATTTTTTTTAGTTTTTAGCTTTTTAATTTTAGTTTTTATTATGTTTCTGGAAAAAAAATGGTAATAAAAGATTTGAATGCATGACTTCATATATGAAAAGCAATAAACTAACTATCAGACCAATGATTATTTTGTGAAAAATATCTCTAATTTGTTACTTATAGTCAAATGGTGTGTCACTCTGCTTGAAAATTTTGTTGGGCCCATCCCTACTGTTGGGACCTCCACGATAACCAACACCACCACCATCGGCTACCATTACTACCACCCACCACCACCTCTACCTTTAGCACATAGGCAACAACTACCTCCTCCATCATTGTCGGCCTCCACCACCACCATTGTCTACCATCTTCACATATTCCACAGTCACTATCTTCAACCAACCACTATCACCTCTACCTCCACCACCATTGTCGTTGCAATCAACCTCTACCACACATTTTGTCCACCATCTTTACATCTCCCATATCATCGTTCTCCACCACCATCCACTACCACTACCACCGCCCGCTACCACCTCTACCTCCATCACATCAGCCACAACTACCTCATCCACCACTATTCACCATCTTCATCCTCCACAATCACCGGCGTCCACCACTCATCACCACTGCCTCTACTCCACCACCATCGATATTGCAATAACTTCCACCACGTATTTGTCCGTTTAAAAAGATCTCCCAAACCGAATAACAAATAGTTTATAATTTATGAACCGGATTTTCCAAAAAAAAAATTGATTAACCTGGATATCCAACCCGCTATGCGAGCCGACTAATCCCAGGGCGACCACCTGCTTTGCAGATAATCCGGAGTCACCGCATTTGAACCTCTGTGGCCACAAGGGATTTTTATTCCTCCTTGGATTTGAACCTGGGACCTCCTGATACTTTTGACCTTTGGATTTTCCAAATTACCATCTATTGTTTCCCGATGATTTCAAACCGGTTATATATAGCTTCTCTCTTGTCTCCCTGTAAATACCAATATTTCCTATGATAACACAATATTTATTTTATTTAAATAGACTGTTTACAAGTGATTTCAAATTGCTTATATATATAGAGAGAGAGAAAGAGAAACGATCAATTGTAAACCACCTTTTTTTGTGCAAACCATACAAGTCAATCTCATCCATCCATTTTCTTGATCAATGGTCATGATTAAAATGTATTATATTAATAAAGTAAAAAAATTAAAATTAAAATTTATTGAAAAAAGGGAAAATTTGACAAATCACCCATATGGTTCCATAAATAGTATCCACATTAAAAATAGATCCAAGTAAGGAGCAATGAAACTAGGTATATCCTAATAAATTATGAAACATAAAAACATACTTTAATCAACAAAAAATAATGAAACCTTTTGAATACTAAAGGAAATATTTGTTTCATTAAACGAATGAATGAAACTGTTTCACCGTTTATTGAATTAACTCACGTGACTCCTTGTCACCTACAATGAAAAATGGACCATTTGACATGTAGTAGTGAACGATATATGAAACTATTTCATTAACGGTTATATGTGTAGGATTGGACTCTTAATAATTTCTAATCAAACTAATTTTAAAACAATGGATACCCTAATAAACGATGAAACATATAAAGAATGAAACATTTCTGAAAATTGAATGAAACATTTTGAAAACTGAATACTTTATTTTCGTAAGTGAAACTTTTTTCATGCATAAAACGTTTCGAAATATTAATAAATTAAATTCATCAATAAAATTGTGTTCATGTCACTATTAAACATGACATTCTTTTCATTACTCAAACTACCATATATTTGGTGTTAGTCCCGAAGGGTAAGGCAATAAACAGAAAGTAATTGTAGAAGGGGGGTTGAATACAATTACACAGATTTTTTCAACTTTTTAATTCTTATTGATTTATATCAAGAATTAATACACACAGAAAAACAAAAGATTGTTGCGGAAGATAGGAAAGGAAAACCTAACCTAAACAATCTT